GCCAATTCCAGTCCAGATTCCAACATTTCTTCCTCAATCTTTCTCTCTCATCTCGCTGATCCTCCGGCCCTGGCTAGACGAGTACACCACACAATCTTCAATCGGTTCTGCAACAAACCTTAACAAGGCTGAAATTATGAATTGGAGATGACCCAAAATGCTTGGTCTCAACTTTAAGATCATCATCATCAAAACCATTCTATTCTTCTTCTCGTAAACACAACAGTAAAACCCATTCTCTTCTCTTGTTCTTCTTCCTCGTCAAACACAACATTAAAACCCACATTATCATCAATCATAACATTGTCTTCTTCTTCTTGGAAATCAGTGATTAGGTTCCCAAAGGAAACCATCTGATCGAAATCATGATTCGACATAGGTTCAACAATTTCTCAATCTCCTCCCTCTGTTGGGGTTATTGTTCTTCAAAACACCCAAACCTCATCAGCCGGCCGGCGACTGTTCCGGGAGGCTGACCACCGCCCAATTGCTGCTGTACGAGGCTCAAAGGCTAAGGTTACGACATGACTTATTTTCATTTTGTTTTGTTTTTCCTCAAATTTTCATTTTGTTTTTTTGTTTTTCCTCAGCAATCAAACAGAGGGTTATATTGTCTTAAGGTTCTTGGGAAATTCTTGATTTATCAATTGTTTATGTTGTTTTATTTTATTATTGTTGCTGGTGAACAACTTCTTTCACTTGGTAAATTGTTTAGAAACAGCAGGTAGAGTGTTGTTTTTGTATTTAATGGACAAATTCATGATAGAGCCTAGCCTTGGCAGATTATACATCTAGAAAGTAGAATTAGTGGGAAGGTGCTTAGTGCTCACAATTCGGTCATTAGCCAACTGCGATTTCTTTTTATATGTTGTGTAGGTGCATAGAGATGAATTTTTTTACCTTGTTCTTTAGTGTAGTTAACAGTGTTGTTGGCTCCTCATATTGATGCACTTTATGGATGATTCATTAATTAAACAGGCTTATATAACAATCTTAACTCATGACATCACGAGCTTTGAGGAGAAGACTCCACCATGGGGATGTCGATGGGAAAAATACTTGTGAAGGAAATTTGTTTGTTAAGGTAACTCGTTAAGGAAATTCATATTGATGCACTTTATGGATGATTCATTAATTAAACAGGCTTATATAACAATCTTAACTCATGACATCACGAGCTTTGACGAGAAGACTCCACCATGGGGATGTCGATGGGAAAAATACTTGTGAAGGAAATTTGTTTGTTAAGGTAACTCGTTAAGGAAATTCATATTGATGCACTTTATGGATGATTCATTAAGGTAACTCGTTTGTTAAAACTCAAATTTGAACATACTTGTGAAGGAAATTCATGATCGATTTTGGTATCACATCAGTAGGTGGTGAAAGATGTGAGGAATCTGTGACTTGCAATCTATCTACAAAGCAAAATGACATTAGGGTTCCAAATATCCTCAACTAACCTTTGGAAAGAATATTTGTTTGGGATACATTGATTTTGGTTTTTTGACATAAAATGTATGATTATGTAATTGAAATCTAGGTGGGCTTGCTGGTTTCTATTGTATGGAGTCATTGGCAATAATTATTAATTAAACTGCCTGGAATTTTGGACGGACTATTAATTTGGATGTCCTGGATTAGACTCTCTTGGTATTGTGCTTGAACTTAATGATACACGTGATTTGTTGGTAACTGACTATTTGGGTTAGTGTTAATGGATAAGATTAACACTAAATGTTGGCAGAGATATGCTTTTAGGACGGTGCACAGTGAGCATTCGCTTTTGACATTGTTGATTAGTGCTTTTAATTTGTTTTACAAATTAGAGAGAGGTTGCTTTAGCCATTAGTTTATGCAATGTCCCAGGTGCTAAAAAGAGAAAATTGGACTAGTGTGGAAGCCATTTACTTGGTACAGAAGGATATGGGGATCTACACCTAGGATTGAGTAAAGCCATGTTTTCACGAAAAGTTTTGTCTAATGTGGCTCAGTTGTAAATGAGTTGAGTTTTGAGTTGTTTAAATGAAGTTGAGTTTGAGTTATTTGGGTTTTTTATTTATATTTTTTAAATATATATAGGTTTTCATTTTTTATTTTTTTAAATATATATACAGTTTTATGGTGAAAGTTAAGCTTAAAAAATTCATGAGTTTTAAAATATGTTCAAATTTGACTTAATTATATGATAAGCTTAAACGAATTTTTAACGATTTAATGTAAGTTGAACTCGAGTTAGCGATCCTACCCTACAGAAATGCTAATTGCACCATGGGAGAGATTTATAACTCTTAGTCTCATATGTTATTTTTACCAATCAAACATAGCCATCACTTTAAACAGACTTGGAAAATTAATTAGTATACAAATAGATGATGTGATACAATTTTATAATTTTGAAATGATAATATTATAATATTGTGAAACCAATATATTGTGAACATTCATATCTAAAATTGTCTTCCTTTTCTCTGCTGCTTCTTTCTCTAGCTATACTTGTACGACATCACATATCTCTACCGGTTGGCATAATTGAATTTATTAAGGATATGTGTTGTGCTTGTGTAGTTCAATATCATAATCATCATTAATCAATTTATATATGTTGTGTGTTGTCAATAAACTAAAGCTGCTGAATTGGCAGTATAAGCTGGGTAAGGTTATTGGACTCAGCGCCTACGGTATTGTTCAAAAAGGTCTTAATCTTGAGACTAATCAAATTGTAGCAATAAAGAGACTGCATACTTTTTTTTGACTGCAAAAATGGTGTCCCATATGCAACAATCCTGGAAATCTTTATGCTGACAGAGATGGATCACATAAATATTGCCAAGTAAGTTATTTCTTTGGAGTTCTGATTAAAAAAAACCCATTAAAAATTTGAATGAGCATGTAATCTGCCAATCAATGGCAAAGAAGCGGTTGAGGCGTCATTTAAAATATTTGCTCCTCGGGGTATTAGTAAGTACATGATTTTAATGCATGTTACCCTGTTTATCTGCATGAGCATGTAATCTACCAATCAATGGCTCTTAATTAGGACTGACCTTAAGCCTAGTGTGGGCCTCTGATTTGATCATTGAATTTGCTGTCGTTATGATGGCCCATGCCAATGAGGTTCAAAAAAAAAAAAAAACTAGAGAAACTAACATCAATCTTGCCTAACACAAAAGACAACTCTAAACTTCAAATGGTTTTGCTTGGGAAGTTTTCTTGTTCCACACAAGGGCAAAAAAATTAATTAAAGATCAGGATTTGAACATCTAACGTCTTCAGAATTCAGCTATAGAATGGTTTAAAAAATGGCTTGATACGGTACATATAATTAATTAACTTGCATCTGTTTGAAGTCAGTCATCTCAGTTAAGTTTAGATTAATCATGTCTTCATCTCATAACCTCACTGCCTATATATTTTTTTTAGCAACATCAATGTGGATTAAATCACTCCTTCTTATAGATGCATTTATGTTTCACATTTCCATACCATCTCAAAGACTCAAAACAGATTTCGTCATAATAACCCTATATGCTTTTCGTAAGTGAATAAACACTATATGGAAATATTTGTTCTTTTCCCTATATTTTTTCATTTGTCGATTAAGTAGAAAAATAGCTTCCATAGTGGATCTTTACGGCATCAAGCCATATTACTCATTTAAAACTATTGCTGCATATCCTAATCTCTGTTCAACTACTCTCTCCCATAGTTTCATGAGTAGTTTTAGAAGTTTGTGTGGGCGACAAAAGGGAGAGCAATATGGGACACTTTATCATTATTATTAGAAAAATAAAATGGGACATTTGGAGGATTCTATGACCTTTAAGGAAAAAGCGAAGAAAATTGTATTGTGTGGTAGATCTTATTGTTTCGATGTTATATAAATCTGAATTTTGTGTAAGCAAGATTTTCCTACATTTTGTTAAGTTGTGACTGATCTATCTACATTTTTCATATTTGATCTTCACACACTTTTTGATGAATTTTAGAATTTTGGAATCTAGCTTGAAAAGTTCTTTATTCTGCCCCATTATTTAAGTTTATCTTTCCATTCATTTTCAGATCATATTTTAATGCGTGTTAATTGCAAATGATGTTTGGTGTTGGAAAGATGTTAGAAACAAAATATATAAGCACATGTTGCATAATCAACCATTTCTTTGTAAGTTTTTTATTTGATTCAGGTAACTATTGTTTCTGTACATGATGGTGAATACCACTGGTAATATAGAATTTCATTCCTTTGACAGGATATGATATTCCCCTGAAATGATTGACGGAAAAAAGAGTATGGAAAATTGATCGGTTAGCACCCTGACCAGTATTCTCATGCTGCCGTTCATTTATTTTTTGCAAGTAGAGACACTCGTGCATTTGCAATATCAGTGGGATGTACCAGTTTATGTATTCTTGGTGGTACTTTGGAAATTTGTTGTATACATGAGAGAAAATATTGCAATTCAACTAGTACATTTTCTATGGAATAAACTTTAAATCTGTTTGGTATCATTTTCATTTTTCTGTTTTCATATTTCGAAAAATATGGAAAACTTTTTTTTATTAAAGAAACACTAAAAAATAGTTTTTAAATTTTCGAAAGCTGTTTTTGCACAAATGAAGGAAACGATGGATGTTTTCAAACTTTTTATTATTATTTTATTCTGAAAAAAAGAAAAACAAACCAAACAAAATTAATCTGTTGGGATAAGAACACTGTGTTAGTGCAAAGAGCCGAAAGAAATGGGTTCAAGGCTATTATGCTTACTGTTGATACCCTTAGGCTTGGTCGAAGGGAAGCAGACATTAAGAACAAGTGAAATTTCATTTCCTTCTCTTTCATATAATTTCCGCTACTAATACCTTCAATGTCCTTCACATTAATGAATAATTTTCTCCCTCCAATATTTGGAAATTCACTGATATTTATTATCTATAATTAAATGAACTTTTCCCCATGCATCACGTTAATAATCCAAACACAATCACTTGTTCAGAATGATTGCACCTCAGCCGAAGAACTTATAAGGTCTCTTGTCAACTGAAGCAGTTTCGGTGAGTTATTTGTTTCCTAATATATGCATTTAAACATGCTTGCAGACAGTGTATTAGTTGTTTTTTTGTGTTAGTTGTATGATACATGGTTGCATATTTCTCTAATACTAGCTGTAATCAGTCTGATACAAGATTTACAACTCTAACATAGATTACTTATTTTGCAGGATAATGGCTCAAAGCTTGCAGCTTTTGCAGCAGAGACGCTTGATCCTTCTCTGTGTTGGAAGGTATAAACCATAGAGCAATAGTCCATGTGTGTTAACTGATAATTTGACTTCACAGTTAACTTTTGTTGAAGGTGTTACTCTTGAGCCAAACATTTCCTTTGCTTAGAAACATCATTTGAAAAGCTGTTTTAATTGTACTGCTATATATATATATGAATATTATTGTAGTAGTTATATGTTTTAGGGACAAATTACGATACAAGTCCCTATAATTTACGCCTTGTGACAATTTAATCTTTGTAGTTTCAATTGCAACAATTTTACCTTTTAATTTTCCATTTTGCATCTAATTGGTCCAGTTGGTAATGATGGTCAAGATTTTTTGACAGAAGATAGCCCACATGCTCTTCATGTGCCCATTCTTCATAGGCAAAATGGAAAAATGAACAAAAATTTTATTACACAGGTGGTCCATGTAGTTTGCCCGTTGTGTCAATTTGGTCCCATTTTTGTTAAAAATAGTCTACAGTTATCAATTGGAATTATAGGGGCTACTACAATAATCTGTCTGTGTTTTAGTCATTTGAAACTATAGGGACCGAATTGGCATAAAGGTGCCTGTGTTTTAGTCATTTGAGGTCTCTCACAAGGTCACATAGTTGATGGAGCTGAAAGCCACCGCCAAAAATATTTCTGTTGGTGTGGTTGCATACTTAAAATAATTGATTTTTTGGTTGGTAAATACAGAAGTCATCAAGGTCATAAATTGATTTCCTTTATGTTAAATCTTATTCAAAACTTTGCAGGACATAGACTGGTTAAGGTCTGTCGCTAGTTTGCCAATTCTAGTCAAAGGGGTCCTGACAGCTGAAGCTGGTAAGCTCATGACTCTGTTTAGATGTTTGTATCTCTCTAATTTTTCTTTTTGACTTTATAAATGAGAGAACCTCTTCACAGGAGCTGAAAAATCAATCAAAGTTTTTTTTTTTTTCAAAATCAATGTAAGGGCCACAAAACAAAAAACCATTAAATTTGAAGAATTTCTTGTTTTTATGTTTATTTCTAGAAGGAATAGCTATATAGGACCCCTATATTTTTGGATAATATGAGCTTTAGCAAACCCATTTATAATTTTCTTGTTTCATAGGTCTTGAATATTTCTTGTTTTCTACTCATGTTTATTTGTGAGAAACAAAAATTGCTGATGATCTGGTATGCTACTCTTGGCAGCAATAAAAGCTATGGAAGTAGGGGTTGCTGGGATTGTTGTAGTGAAGTTTGTTGAGGTTTTATTATCTTTGTTCGGTAGTGCTGTTTCATAGTGACATAATTTTTCTTTGTTCCCAGAAACATTTGAAGTGGCTAAAACAATATCGATGGGGCCATCATTGAAAAGTGGATCAAAAGTTGGGAAAAGTGGATCAAAAGTTCACGAACCAGACGAGCATCCTCCCCAACATATTTCTTAACAAGTTCACAAAGCCAAATTGTACAAGACTACTTGGCAGTATAAGCATTTTTGGGAGGATTAAATATTTTTGGATGGATGTGTATAGATAACAAATATTAGTAGTTTTGATTTGTTGATAGCTGCGCATGGATAATAAATAGTTATGTTTCAAATTGTTATGATACATGAATGTGACTTGTGAATGAAAACTTAGAATAGTTGTATTGTGTCGAATGTTAATGAATTATGTATTGTGTCGAATGTTAATGATTCAGTTAATTTGAATGATGCTTTAAAATTATAGGTTTATTATGGATTGATTGAATTATAACATGATTACAGGTGTATTGTTTTCCTGCTTTGACGACCAATTTATTAGTCGCGACATCCAAAATTATTTTTTTTTTGCAAAAAATGACAATTGCCGACCAAGAATTTTGGTCACAAAAAATACATGTATTGCCGACCAAAACAGCTCTTGGTCGTGGAATCTCACTTTTGCCGACCAAAAGTTTTGGTCGCAAAAAGACACAAATGGTGACCAATTTTTTTGGTCGCAAAATGTGATAATTGGCGACCAAAAAATTTGGTCGCGAAATGTAATAATTGGCGACCAAACTTTTTGGTCGCCAAATGTGATAATTGGCGACTAAGAAATTTGGTCGGGAAAATATCACTTTTCGCGACCAAAGTGTTTTGGCGACAAAATAAATTAGTCGCGGTAATTAAATATTTAGCGACCAAAAATTTAGTCGCGAAATCGACCAACCAAAATTTTGGTCGCGAATTACTTTTGCCGACCCTCAATTGGCGACCAAAGTAGCGACCAAAAAATTTGGTCGCGAATAACTTTTGCCGACCAAAAATAGACTTTTAGCGACCAATTTTTTTGCTGCTAAAAGTGTTAATTCTTGTAGTGTGCCATTAGACTAACAAAAAAATTTTTGGTCAAATAGAAAATAAAAAAAAAAATTACATAAAAATTATTTTATTAAATAGAGAAATTTCTTTGTTAGTTAAATATGTTTTGAAAGAGCCCAACCACCAACTACTTCCAACCACAACAACTTAAGAAATTTCCGATAGATAAATTTTTTGTTGGAGCTAAAACAATTTTTTAAATTCTATTTGCAAATTGAGTGCTAAAGCAATGTATTTTTGCAAAACTAATGTGGCCATTGTCTAGATCTTGAAAAATATGTGGGAAAAAAAAAAAAAAAACTCATCCATCATGGACAAATGAACATAAAATTACAATCATTTCAAATTTGACCAAAGAAACTTCACCTCCACTACCACAACGATTGCTACCAATGTCATTGCCACAACCTCTATCACTATCAACAATGCTGCAACCATCGTCTCAGTTGCAACCACAACCACAACCAACGGCAACTATGACAACCACCACCAAAAATGGAAAGTGTTTGAACGCCACCACTATGACTAATAACCACCAACAACGAGAGGTTTTGGAAATCCATTATTACCAAAAAGTTGAATATTTTTCAAAACTCAAACTTTTTAATTTCGAATATACCAAAAATTGTGAGAATTTTACTATAGAAGAGAAAAATTATGTCAATAAAGGCTTCCGCTCAAAATTTGAACATTAAAAAAAAGAAAAAGAAAAAGGTAGAGGAACTTAGGGGTTGGGTTTGCAAGTTGGTAAAAATAGGTCAAAAACAAGTCATCCGTCCTCAAGCACTGCTTATAATGGATGGAGGTGGCTGGAATCCAGTTATTCGAAGAAAAGGACCGGTCAGATATCCTGGGGATCGTAGGGGTGGGGGTCTATTCACAATTTTTGTAGATAACATCCCTGAGTCCATGAACCCTAAAGGTCTATTTGGATTATTCTCCAAGTTTGGTGTAGTTAAGGATGTGTTTATACCTATGAAAAGGAGGAAGCTAACAGGTTTGAGATTCGGTTTTGTTCAGTATGATTGTCCAGTAGCTGCGGAGATAGCAGTGCAAAAAGCTGATGGGTTATGGTGTGATGATAAAGTGATAAAGGTCAAAAGTGCAGAATTTACCAAAGAGGAGAGAAGTACCACATAGGGGGATAAAGTGAGCCATCAACCAGGAGGAAATCCTCAAGGGCTGCAAAGGGGTAGTAAGAATGTCAATATAGGCATCCAAAAAGTTGGCATACAGAGAGGGCAACGTTATGTAGGGAGTAAGTCCTATGCCGAGGCGGTTCGAAATGTTAGGAGCTATGGAAAAGAGGTAGTAATTGTTCAGGTCAGAGAAATAAGAAATGGGTGGCTGTATGAAAGCCTAGTTGTCAAACTCCATAACTTTTTCTCATTCCCAGCTTTCAAGGAGGAATGCAGGAAGAGAGGTTTGAAGGAGGTGCAAGTCAAAGCAGGGGAAGGAAGGATAGCAATGTTATCATTTCCATCAGTCCAGGATTTGAAGAGTAGGAAGGAGAGTTTAAAGGAATGGATCTTTGAATGGTGTAGTTCAATGGAGGAGTGGTATCCGGGGTCCGTAGTTGATCATGAAAGATGTGTATGGGTAACCTGTTGTGGTGTACCCTTTCATTTGTGGAGTGTGGATACATTTAGAAGCATTGGTGCGATATGGGAAGAAGTCATGCAATTTGATGATGATACTATTAACAGTGTCTCCTTCTATTGTGGCAAAGTTAGAGTTATCACCAAGTGTCTAGACTTCATCCACCAGACGATGAAGCTGCAGTGTAAGGAAAAGGTGTATCCAGTAAGTGTCTGTGAGAATTTTGATTCTACGGGAGTAATGGAGCAAGCTCAGAGCAATTGTATGACAAGGCCGTCGGAGAAGATAGGTAATGAGGGTAAAGATAAGGCTGATTGTGGCTCTCAGATAGGTGGTAGCCGGTGAAGCAATGAAGAGGTGGTAAAAGGGAGGGATGACATGGAGGATGAGGTGGACCTTTGTAAGGAGATGGTTGGTTCTAGCAAAGCCACGTTAAGTGGTAACAATGGGCCAAAAACAGGTAATGCTATCTAGGTATCAGACACTAAGGTATCTGAGACAAAGGTGGTAAGTGATGAGCTGCTTATTGAGAAGCTAAACAATGGAAGTTGCCATCAGAGAGAAGGTAGCATGCCGATGCAAGTTCCAAGAAGGGTTAATGAGTGCAAGGAGGTAGCAGTTGATGGTTATCTGCTCACACCAGGTTTTGTTAAAAGTCTGAGTAGGTCTGATGTAAGAAGGCCTAACATTAATTCGGAGGTAGTTCTACAAGAGGCCCAATTAGTAAATTATGGAGGTGGGTCTGATAACGTGATAAATAGCCAAGTGTGGTCCAAGCCCAAAATGGTGTGGTCCAGCTCCATAAACACTCTCGAGGTCAGTCTCAAGCCCATCTGTCTGGAAAAAGGTCATACTATAGCCAAGGCAAGTGAACCAATGATGAAAGGAAATAATCGAAGATATGATGGAAGGAAAGGAGGATCAACCGTCGGGAGAAGTGAAGGCTGCACAGAAACAAATTACCATTTTCTGGAGGTTTTAAGAAGGGTGCACTATTCAAGGTGGCAGCAGCAGCCATCTCACATTCAATGTCTCAGAGTAGTAGATCGAGTAGGAGAAGAAAAATGGTCCTTGATGAAGCTTATGCTACTCTGCAGATCGGAAAACAATTGGGTATGAATTGACAAGGCAAGGAGAAAGATGTGATTAAAAAATTTGTGCAACTGGAGAAACAAGATACAGTGAGGTTAGTTAGAGTTAAACAGGGAGATGGGTTTGGGCAGACCTAATTGGTCTAGATTGGGGGGTTGTAGTGGTGTTAATTTAGTTACAATGAAGATTATGTCTTGGAATGTGAGAGGACTGGGTAGGTCAGATAAACGGAGTAGAGTTAAGCTTCTTATTAACAAAAGGGAAGTGGATGTGTTGCTCCTTCAAGAAACTAAGAGGAGTAATATTGACGAAGCTTTTTCTAGATCTATTTGGCCATGGGAAAAAATGGAGTTTATGGCTGTAGACTCGGATGGGAGTGCTAGGGGGTTGCTGAGCATTTGGAATCCAAATGTCTTCTTGTTATCGGACTGCTATTGCAACAGGAATTTTCTGCTGCTCTCAAGTACTTCTACTGTCTCTTTTGAGTGTGTGTTTGTAAATATATATGCCCCTAATGATGTGGTGAAGAGAGCTAAGCTCTGGGAATTCATTATTAGTATAAGATCATTTTTCCAAAAGCCTTGGTGTAAGGGAGGTGATTACAATGAGATTAGATTTGTTGCCGAAAGAAGAGGATGTACTAGGAGAGATAAAGGGATGCAGGATTTTTATAATTTTGTGGACAAATTGGAAATGGTGGATATACCAATGTTGGGCAGAAGTTTTACTTGGAGTAATTCAGTTAAGGGTGAGAGATGGAGTAAAATCGATAGGTTTTTATTGGATCCTAGTTGGCTGGAAAAATTCAAATTCAAGTTATGGGGCTTGCCTAGAATAGTATCTGACCATTGTCCTTTGTTGTTAAAAGAGGATGAGAGAAATTGGGATCCTAGGCCATTCAGGTTCTTAAATGCCTGGCTTTTACACCCAAGTTTCACAGCTAATGTGCAAAGATCATGGGTGGATGTGCAAGTGCAAGGGTGGGCTGGGTCTAGAGTAAAGATGAAATTTAGGCTTAAAGATGAGTTGAAAAGATGGAACACTGAAGTGTTTGGTTGTGTGGAGAATCAACTAAAAAAGGCTGAAAATGAGTTGCATGAGTATGATTTGTTAGCAGAATCAAGGCTGCTAGACTCACAGGAAACTGCAAGAAGAAGGGTGTTGAGAAATTTGGTGTGGTCATTAAGAAAGAAAAAGGATTCCATATGGTTCCAGAAATCCAGGTTGAACTGGGCTCAAAATGGGGATGGAAATACTAGGTTTTTTCATTTAATTGCTAGTCAAAGATAAAGAAGGAATTTGGTGGACTCAGTGACTGTTGATGGAGTTAGTATTGAAGATCCAGACCTGGTGAGGTAGGAAGTGCTATGGCACTTTACAAAGGCTTTTTCGGAGGATTAGCCTTCTAGACCAAAATTGTCTGGTAGTTTTGTGAAAGTTAGTAATGCTAAAGTGGTAGAGCTTCTTGAAAAAGAATTTTCAATAGAAGAAGTATGGGATGCAGTAAAAGGTTGCGATGGGAATAAAGCGCTGGGACCGGATAGGTTTAACCATGGCGTGTATTCAGAAATGTTGGAAGTATATGAAGAGTGATATATTCCAATTCATGCAGGAGTTCTATCTTAATAGTAAGCTGGTCATAAGGCTCAATAGCTCATTTGTTACGCTTATTCCGAAAAAGATTAACCCCTCAGGATTAGCTTATTACAGACCTATAAGTTTGTTGGGTGTAGTGTATAAAGTTTTGACTAAGGTACTAGCAAAAAGACTGCAGAAGGTCTTACCAGATGTGATTAGTGAAGTGCAAACTACCTTTTTAGGGGGTAAGAGCATTTTCGATGAGATAATGATTGCAAATGAGGTAGTGGATTGGTGGAAAAAGTCTAAAATGAAAGGAGTAATACTCAAACTGGATTTCAAAAAAGCTTATGATTCGGTTAACTGGGAGTATTTGTTTTCTATGATGGAAAATATTGGGCTTGGGCAAAGATGTTTGGGTTGGATTCGAACTTGTGTCACAACAGCAAGGATTTCAATACTTGTTAATGGATCGCCTACCAAGGAGTTCTATCCACAAAAGGCACTAAGGCAAGGTGAACCTTTATTCCTTTTGTTGTTTAATATAGCAGCTGAGGGGCTTAACCTATTGATGGAAAGGGCAAAAGATTTGGGTTTATTAAAGGGTGCTACTATTGGGCCTGCTGGTTTGAAGTTGTCTCATCTTCAGTTCACTGATGATACTATCCTATTTTGTGAAACTGAGTGCAAGGAGATTGTGACTGTTAAAAGAATCCTCAGATGCTTTAAGCTCATGTCAGGACTTAAGATAAATTTCAACAAAAGTGTGGTATGTGAAGTTGGGATTTGGGATGAAATGGTAAAAGCTTTTGCTTAAAAATTGAAGTGCCTATGCCAGAAGCTGCCTCTCAAGTACTTGGGCTTACCACTTGGGGCAAATCCAAGAAGAAAGAAGACTTGGCAACCTGTGGTGGAGAAAGTTAAGGCCAAGTTAGCTTTATGGAAGCGGAAGATGTTGTCCTTTGCTGGTAGGTTAACATTGATAAAATCTGTTCTAGATACCTTTCCTGGATATTATATTGCCATCTTTAAATTACCTAAAGGAGTAGCAAAGGAAATTGATAAGTAGAAGGCATCATTTCTGTGGGGCAGCTCAGAGATAAGAAGGAAGATTCATTTAGTGAATTGGAAAACTGTAACTCTAAGCAAAGAACAAGAAGGGTTAGGTGTAAGAAGGGTGAGAGACATAAATGATTTTATGCAAGCTAAGTGGTGGTGGAGGTATGGGGTGGAAGATAACTCTTTGTGGAAAAAAGTAATTATAAGCAAGTATGGGAGAGTTGGTGGCAGATGGCTACCAGAGATGGAAGGGAATGGCAATGAATCTTTTGTCTAGAATGATATACTCAGTGTGTCCAGGTCTAATCCTAGACTATTTAATTTTTTTCTATCCAATTGTAAGATGGTGATTGGCAATGGGTGTAGGATTGATTTTTGGCATGATAGATGGTATAGGAACCTTCAATTAAAAGTGGAGTTTCCTAGGTTGTACCAATTATATGTGGAAAAAAAAGGATCATTGTGTTCTTTCATGCAAATGAGGGATAGCTCAGGGGTTTGGCAGTTACTATTTCGAAGGCCACTTCTTGCTTGGGAGGAAGAGGAGGTTAGAAGACTGCAAGTATTGTTAAGAGATGCTTTTGGGCTTAATGTGAAGCTGAATGACTCAATTAGGTGGGATGCATCCATGGATGGTCAGTTTACTACGGCAGCAGTTTGAGAATGGTTTGAGTTAAGTCAAGGTCCAAGATTGCAAGCTCCTACGTTGATTTGGAAAGGTGTAGCTCCACCAAAAGCTCAGTTCTTGAGTTGGCTAGCATGGAAAGGAAGGGTGAAAACCATTGGTATGCTAAAGAGGTTTGGGGCTGTGAGTAGCATGGTGGAGAATCTTTGCCCTTTCTGTAAACATGAAGAAGAATCTGTAGATCATATCCTGCAGAAGTGCTATAAGATTTGGAAGGTTTGGTCATCTTTGCTGAATTAGTGGGGCTTATCTTGGGTCATACCTGATCCTGTTGATAGTGTGCTGCTATGGTGGTTGGGAACAAAATTTAAAAAGTCAGTTAGGGAGGTTTGGCGGCTTGTACCAGTTGCAACGTTGTGGCCTACATGGAGGTTAAGAAATGACTGTGTGTTTCATGGGCGGCAACCAAATATAGAGGAGCTTGGTGAAATTGTAAAAGTGAGAATTGGGTTGTGTAACGCCCTAAAAAAATATACATAAAACCCCACATTCTTGACAAGCATTGATATAAGAGAAATAAACACTTTCTATTTATCAGAGTAGTCCTTACAGATGTATTACATGTTGACATCAAAAGTAAATGTCCAACGGCTTACAACTTTCCAAGTCAACACTTGGTTACACAAAAGAGAGTACTAACTCACATCATATTTAGCCCTTGGCCTGAATTTACATGTAATACCACAAAAGATAACAAAATAACAAAAAGAGTCTTAAACTCCTAAGACCTTCCAAGCTATGTCCTTGGAGGTGGCTTATCACTTGGACCTGAAAATGATGTCCCATAAAGGGTGAGCTACAGCCCAGTAGAGATATACTAAACCAAATATAAGCATTAACAAAAATAGTAGCATTTGATAGATGGTTAACACTCATAAACGAATTATATCGCAATACAGTTCCATGACACTTGTGTCCATGTTACATTCCATTTTCCTTCACTTATCAATTCATTTCATAAATGTGGCTCAGAACCTGGCCAGATAATTTAATAGCAACTCGTATTAAACACTTCTTACTTCACAATAGATACACATAATTGTTGTATCAATCTCAAACAAATACTTCCATACTTCATATATGATATACAGATTTGCTATATCAATATTTCAATAGATACACATATTTGCTGTATCAATGGAGTACATCCCCTGTTTCCTCCCAAACAATGTCCGAATTAGGAGTCCATCTCCTATCTTCCCCTAAACCGTGGAGTACATCCCCTATCTCCTCCCACACAACACAATGTATATAAACACGTATCATATACAAGGTTAATCAATACATAAGTTTGATGTATTATACCCAACGGTCATATTCGATGACATACTCAAAGTGATTAGTTTCGGTTTTCCCTAATCAACATGCAGTGTCTACAACAATTAAGACTATCCTCCACCGATAGCCCAAAACAGATATTTCTAAACAGAACATAAATGCAACAACAGATATAATATCAACATTTACCATAGGTGAGTGATAAATTAATCCAACTACACCATTTAATCACATAATTTCCTACCAATTTCATTATCCTCGAACTCATTTACACATTTCCGCAATTAAATTATACAAAAACATATATTCGTTACATTAGGGCATTTACCAATTTTTCCAATAATAGCCTAAGGCTCATTTTTCACCCGAGTAATTCTATAAACACCTCATTTCAATGTCATAAGCACAAATATGACTCAGAATGTGAGAAACCCCACTTTTCTAGGAAATTAACAAGACAACCTAA